TCACAGGGACACCTGAACATGTTTCCAGTCCATCACAGGGACACCTGAACAGGTCTCCAGTCCATCACAGGGACACCTGAACATGTCTCCAGTCCATCACAGGGACACCTGAACATGTCTCCGGTCCATCACAGGGACACCTGAACATGTCTCCAGTCCATCACATGGCCACATAGAGAGAACCAACTCTCACTCTCTCACTCACACTTAGAGACAATTTAGAGTTACCTATCAGTCTAACATGTATGTTTTTGTTTGTGGGAGGAAACCCGGCAAAAACTCACACATGCACAGAGAGAACATGCAAACTGCACCCAGAAAGGTCCCATGCCAGTATTTGAACCATGGCAACCTGCTTGCCGAGAGACGGCAGCTCTGCCAACTGCACCACCGTGCCACCCCTAGCAAAGCATGAAAAACATAAAATCTACAGTAAATATTAGTCATGCAGAAAAAATATGCCACATCTATTGAAGGACAACAATGAGGTTACATCCAAAGATGTTTGGACTTCCTAAACGAATGCTACATTTTGTAAGCAAACATTTTAAACTTTACCCCTCGTGACTTTGAAATAAGGGAGGGACTCACAGGGTTACAGATAAATCTAGTGACTGATTCAATTTTAGTGTTCATCCTAAAATTATTCCCATTAATGCAGTAAAGTAGTTTTAATTAATACATAATTTTACTTTATAAAAGTACAAAATACTACAAGCCTGCAAACTGTGATATAAAACTGTTTAACCTGGATACATTAAATACAAAATCAGACAAAGTGGTTTAGTTTGAACTTTTTGTACATAATGCGTGTCCAATCTCCATGACTGATCATTTTCTGGTGGTTCTGCATTTCTCACCCATATTTTCCCCGATGTATGCAGGTGCCGTATCTGTACCGCTCAGCCAGCATGCACAGCTCCAGACCCCCGTCCTTGGGTCATTTACAGCCTCTGGAGCACAAAGACTGCAACGGAAAGGGCTCTCCATCAGCCCCGAACCCTACAAATGTCTCTTTGGAGGAAAACACTGAGGATGAAAATGTAGAAGAAGACGCCAGTCTGGTCAGTCTGTGTGCATGTGCTAGAACATTTTCACATGTTTAGAACATGTATGTTTTCATGAATCTGAATTTTGGTCACTTGAATATATTTGTTAATAACTAAGAATGACTTGTTGGATGTGAACTCTGTCTTTTCTCCACAACATAGTCTTGTTTTGGTTTTTAATATAGGTGGGTATGTAATATTTTTTTCTTTGATTTGTGATCTCATAGAGACGGAACACAGTAAAAACGTGAAACTTGGTTATTCACAGCTGAGGTTTTTCACATCTTGGCATCATCTTGTATTTAGCTGGTATTAAAATGTCGGTACTCACTCACCTGAATCTTCTGAATGCAAATGAAGCACAAATCATGAAACTTTTTTTATGCTTTAAAGCTGGTATGAGGCATTTGCTCTGACATGCTGCATTTATCGCAATTTTCAGTCTATAGAGCGAATTCAAATATAAACTGTGCACACTAACAAACAATAAATGAATAAAATAAAAATATTGTATATAAACCGGTATGTATGTATGTATGTATATATA